GTGTGCGGAGCGGTGTGTCCCCGCACCACCGGCCACCGTGGTGACAGCCGCCCATGCACTGCAGTTGCACAGTCCCGCTGCTCTGGTCCGGGGTTACAACCACAACAACTACAACGACGACAAACACAACAACAACAACAACAACAACAACAACAACAACAACAACAACAACAACAACAACAACAACAACAACAACAACAACGACAGCGACAACAACAACAACAACAACAACAACAACAACAACAACAACAACAACAACAACAACAACGGCAACAACAACAACAACCACAACAACAACAACAGCAACAACAACAACAACAACACCAACACCAACACCAACACCAACAACCACAGCAACACCACCACCACCACCACCACCAACAACAACAACAACAACAACAACCACAACAACAACAACAACCGCAGCAACAACAACAACAACAGCAACAACCACGACAACAACCCCCTGCAAGAAACACTACCCTTCAATCCGCCGCCGCGGCTCCCATGGTTGGGCCCCTGGCCGGCTGTTGCGCGTAAGCGCTTAAATTCGGCTCCGCCGGCTCCCCACGAGTACGCTGACAAATGCGTCACGAGCGTCCCGGAGCGACTAGAGCTCTAAGGTGAGGCGCGCCCCAAGCCGCCGACCCTCCGACGCCGGGCCCCGAAAAACACCAAAAATCCTTCAGGAGGGTGGGGGAGAGCTTTTTGGCCGGAATCCGGGTCGCTCATAAGCGTCTCCAAGAGCAAAAGGCCCCCCCCCCCGTTTGGAGGGTACCTAAAATCGGAAAAAAGTGCCGTTTTGACACATTTGTCGGACGATTTTTCGCTTTTCGAAAGTCACAAAATGCTGTAAATTACAGCATTTTTGCGTTTTAACGTCTTTTGCGGGAGCCATGCAAAAACGCAGAAAATGCTGTAAATACCAATACTTTTTGGACCCAAGATGCACAAAACACCGCAAATACCAGTGTTTTTGAAAGCCAAGCAAAAAAAACACTGTAAATTACGGCATTTTTGGCGGGTTGATCGCAGAAAATGCTGGTATTCACAGTGTTTTTGCAATTTCAAGAAAACGTGGAAGGCACGAAACACTGTAAATAGCGGTGTTTTGGCCACTTTTGGACGCCGAAACGCTGGTATTTACGCAGTTTTTTGCCCGTGGCGGCGCCAAACCCCTGTAAATTACAGCATTTTCTTCCCTTTCTGAACCGATTTTTTACCTTGATGAACGCAAAAAACGCTGGTATTTACGCGTTTTTCAAAAAATCGAAGATCGTGACGTGAACGAAACCCTGCAAATAACAGTGTTTTAGCCACTTTCGGGGACTAAAACTGTGGTATTTACGCGGGTTCTTGCCATCTGACAGCGCAAAATGCTGCAAATTACAACACTTGGTGCGCTGTTTATCTTCAATTTTTTAACCCGCGATGCTTTCACCTGTTCTTTGCATTCTTCCACAAGAAACAATGTTGCAGATTGAAACTGGACGACAGCGTGACCCGAAAGAAAGCTGGATGGAGGAGTCGCACAGAAGCTTTTACACATACAGGGGCTTTTACACAGAGAAGTCTTTAAACAAAGGAGCTTTTTACACACAGAAGGTTTTACACAGAGAAGTCTTTACTCTAAGGAGCTTTTGCACACAAACATCTAGGAGCCTTTACCCACAGAAGCTGTTACACAAAGAAGTCTTTACACAGAAGGCTTTTTACACACAGACGCGTTTGCACACAGAAGCTTTTACACAGAGAAGCCTTCACACAAAGGAGCTTTTACACACAAAAGCATTTACACACAGCAAGCTTTTACACACACAGGGGCTTTTACACAGAGAAGTCCTTACACAAAGGAGCTTTTTACACACAGAAGGTTTTACACAGAGAAGTCTTTACTCTAAGGACTTTTGCACACAAACATCTAGGAGCCTTTACACACAGAAGCTGTTACACAAAGAAGTCTTTACACAGAAGGCTTTTTACACACAGACGCGTTTGCACACAGAAGCTTTTACACAGAGAAGCCTTCACACAAAGGAGCTTTTACACACAAAAGCATTTACACACAGCAAGATACAGCAAGCTTTTCCACACACAGGGGCTTTTACACAGAGAAGTCCTTACACAAAGGAGCTTTTTACACACAGAAGGTTTTACACAGAGAAGTCTTTACTCTAAGGAGCTTTTGCACACAAACGTCCAGGAGCTTTTTCACACAGAACTTTTTACACGAAAAAGGCCTGACAGAGAGAGTTTTTACACACAGACGCGTTTGCAGATTGAAGCTTTTACACAGAGAAGCCTTTACACAGAGGAGCTTTTACACACAAAAGCATTTGCACACAGCAAGCTTTTACACACACAGGGGCTTTTACACAGAGAAGCCTTTACACAAAGGAGCTTATTACACACAGAAGGTTTTACACAGAGAAGTCTTTACTCTAAGAGGCTTTTGCACACAAACGTCTAGGAGCTTTTTCACACAGAACTTTTTACATGAAGAAGGCGTGACAGAGAGAGTTTTTACACACAGACACGTTTGCACACAGAAGCTTTTACACAGAGAAGCCTTTACACAGGGGAGCTTTTACACACAAAAGCATTTACACACACAGGGGCTTTTACACAGAGAAGTCTTTACACAAAGGAGCTTTTTACACACAGAAGGTTTTACACAGAGAAGTCTTTACTCTAAGGAGCTTTTGCACACAAACATCTAGGAGCCTTTACACACAGAAGCTGTTACACAAAGAAGTCTCTACACAGATATATAGCTTTCACACACAGACGCGTTTACACACAGAAGCTTTTACACAGAGAAGCCTTTACACTTTACACAGAAAGTTTTTACACACGGAAGCTTTTACACACAGTGAAATCTTTACACAGACGTTTCACACAGAGAAGCTTTCACACACAGAAGCTTTTACACAAAGAAGTCTTTACACAAAGTGGTTTTTACACACAGAAACTTTTACACACAAAAGCTTTTACACAGAGAAGTCTTTGCACAGAGGCGCCTTTACACGAAGTAACAAGTTGAAATTGGCAGCAGTTCTTCGGGAAAAACCCTTGGCAGGAGCTTTCGGGAACTCACTTGCTCCCCAAAAAAGCCGTCTATTTCCAACAAAGTTCCTATTCGATGAACTTTTTTCAAAAACATAAGGACTATATTTCTGAAGCAGGTCCCCATCCAAAAGCTTTCAAGCCCACACTGCGATGAAATGGAGGGTCGAGAAATCCGGCGGAGCCGACGAGGGGCGTCAGCCCTTAAATTCGGCTCCGCCGGCTTCACACGAGTGGCTTGCCCTACGAGCGTCCCAGAGCGACTAGAGCTCTATGGTGAGGCGCGCCCCAAACCGCCGACCCTCCGACGCCGGGCCTCAAAAAACACCAAAAATCCTTCAGGAGGGTGGGGGAGAGCTTTTTGGCCAGAATCCGGGTCGCTCATAAGCGTCTCCAAGAGCAAAAGGCCCCCCCCCCGTTTGGAGGGTACCTAAAATCGGAAAAAAGTGCCGTTTTGACACATTTGTCGGACAATTTTCAACTTTTCGAAAGTCACAAAATGCTGTAAATTACAGCATTTTTGCGTTTTAACGTCTTTTGCGGGAGCCATGCAAAAACGCAGAAAATGCTGTAAATACCAATACGTTTTCAACCAGAGATGCACAAAACACTGCAAATACCAGTGTTTTTGAAAGCCAAGCAAAAAAAAACATTGTAAATTACAGCATTTTTGGCGTGTTGATTGCAAAAAATGCTGGTATTTACACGGTTTTTGCAATTTCAAGAAAACGTGGAAGGCACGAAACGCTGTAAATAGCGGTGTTTTTGCCACTTTTGGACGCTGAAACGCTGGTATTTACACAGTTTTTTGCCCGTGACGGTGCCAAACCCCTGTAAATTACAACATTTTCTGCACTTTTTGAACCGATTTTTTTGCCTTGGTGAACGCAAAAAACGCTGGTATTTACGCGTTTCCCAAAAAATCGAAGATCGTGACGTGAACGAAACCCTGTAAATAACAGTGTTTTAGCCACATTCGGGGACTAAAACTGTGGTATTTACGCGGGTTCTTGCCAGCTGACAGCGCAAAATGCTGTAAATTACAGCACTTTGTGCGCTGTTTATGTTCAATTTTTAAACGCGCGATGCTTTCACATGTTCTTTGCATTATTTTGCATTCTTCCACAAGAAACAACGTTGCAGATTGAAACTGGACGACAGCGTGACCCGCAAGAAAGCTGGAGGGAGGAGACGCACAGAAGCTTTTACCCACACACACACAGGGGCTTTTACACAGAGAAGTCTTTACACAAACGAGCTTTTTACATACAGAAGGTTTTACACAGAGAAGTCTTTACTCTAAGGTGCTTTTGCAGACAAACGTCTAGGAGCTTTTACTCACAGAAGTTTTTACACGAAGAAGTCTTTACACAGAGGGCTTTTTACACACAGACGCGTTTGCACACAGAAGCTTTTACACAGAGAAGCCTTTACACAGAGTAGCTTTTTACACACAGAAGGTTTTACACAGAGAAGTCTTTCCTCTGAGGAGCTTTTTCACACAACGTCTTGGAGCTTTTACACACAAAAGCTGTTACACAAAGAAGTCTTTACACAGAGAGCTTTAACAC